GCGTGCCTCCACGGAGGACATATGAGGCGTTTCAGACAGGGCCTTGCCTTCGAGGATCGAAGGAGTTGTCATCTCTTCCTCGGCGGAAGGCGGCGGAAGAGCGGCGGAAGGTCGGCGGAAGTAAAACGAGGCCGCCTCCGCCGGCGGAAGGCGGCGGAAGTTCGGCGGAAGGCGGCGCAAGTGGAAGATGCGCCACCAAGAGACGAAAACGTCTGTGGGCTCGGGGTGTCCGAAGTCGCCCACGTAGTGTTTAGTACGCTCCTGGGCGTCCCAGGACACGCTCGCGAGCATCCGGAAGCAGGGCTCCTTCGTCCGGGCCGTGCAGACCCTGACGGAGGCCAGCTTCCGGCAGGCCGGGGACTTTGCCACGGTGCCGCGCCTGCTGTCGAACCGCAGGGCCCCTGGGCCCAGCAGGGACGGCGCCAGGAGCTCAGGCTCGGGCTGGGCGGGAGGGGAGGGCAGCCCGCGACCTGCAGCCTCCGCAGAGGAGGGGAGGAGGAGGGGGAGGGGGAGGGGGAGGAGGAGGAGGAGGAGGAGGAGGAGGAGGAGGAGGAGGAGGAGGAGGAGGAGGAGGAGGAGGAGGAGGAGGAGGAGGGGGAGGAGGGGGGGAGTAGGACAAGCCCCCCCCCACGGTGCGCTCGCGCGTCGTATCTGAAGTCCTTTACCCTCCCTCCCACCCTTGCCTGTACGCTGATTTTTCTATGTCCGCCGACGACGTGTCGTACGGACCTGGGTCCGCGCGCGCGTGCGTGTGGGTGGTGGTGCACGTGCTGCGTGCGTGCGTGGTGCGTGGTTGTCGTGGCAGCACGACGCTGCTGTGCTGGTGCTGGTGCTGGTGCGGTTGCGGTGCTGGTTGCTGGTGCTTGTGTGTGGTACTGGTGCTGGTGCTGGTGCTGGTGGTTGTGGTGGTGTTGTTGGTGGTGGTGGTGGTGGTGCTGGTGGTGGTGGTGCTGGTGGTGGTTGTGATGGTGGTGGTGGTGGTGGTGGTGGTGCGGCGCGGTGGTGGCGGGCGGATGGGCGCGCGAGAAAGAGGCCCGCGCTGGGGCGAGAACGCCATCCTGACGACGGAGGCCAAACACCGATCCGAAAATGAGGCCCACGCTGCAGCGGGAGCACGATTCGGAACGATTCGGGAGCAGAAATGAGGCCGACGCCTCAACGAGAGCAGCATTTTGGGAAAAAATGACGCCGGCGCCTCAGCGAGAGTCGTTTCCCGGGATTTCCCGGGCATCCTGTGTGTAAAAAAACAGTACGCGGAGGATGCGCGGCTATCACCCGGACGCCATCAGGGGAAGGATTCGGGAGCAGAAGTGAGGCCGGCGCCTCAACGAGAGCAGCATTTTGGGAAAAAATGACGCCGGCGCGAGAGCAGCATTTTGGGAAAAAATGACGCCGGCGCCTCAGCGAGAGTCGTTTCCCGGGATTTCCCGGGCATCCTGTGTGTCAAAAAACAGTACGCGGAGGGTGCGCGGCCATCACCCGGACGCCATCAGGGGAAGAGGGAGAGTATATTCATATTGAGTGATTGTGGAGGAGGAGGAAGAGGAGGAGGAGGAGGAGGAGGAGGAGGAAGAGGAGGAGGAGGAGGAGGAGGAGGAGGAGGAGGAGAGGAGGAGGAGAGGAAGGAGGTGCAGGTCGAGGGAGGGGTGCTGCAGTTGCTGCATGCAGCGCGGCCTGCCCCTTCCGCACCCTCCGCGCGGCAGGTGCCGCTGCCGTGACCGCCGCCACGGCCGCAGCGGCGGCCACCGTCGACGCCGCAGCGGCGGCACCTTCCGCGCGGAAGGTGCGGAGGTGGGAGCCCCTGCGACGGGTGTCATCACGCCCTGTGTTGTGGCCCCTGGAGGTGGTGGGCGCACGATGTTTTTTTCACCCGGCGATGTTGCGTTCGTGCACGAGTTAGTGCCAGCCCGTGGGCTCTTGATCGAAGAAAAATCACCATAAGCATAGCCTTTTGGCGCTCCGCGCGGATTTCTTGGATCCACGCTGGGCCCCCCCGCTCCGGCGCCGCCGCTGGCGCGCTCCGCGCGCCAGGGAGGGGGGTCCAGCCAGCGCGGATCCAAGAAATCCGCGCGGAGCGCCAAACGGTTCTGCTTAATGGCTTTTTTTCCTACTTGCGAAAACCAATCGGCGGCTGAGCTCTCTCGCGACTCGGGCCGAAGGGCTCCTCCGCCCCGCCAGGCGGCACCGTGTCCCGCGCCGGCCGCGCCACGGGCACCTCCCCGCGCAGGCCTGGGCTGCCGAGCCGGGGCCACGAGGCGGCCGCCCGGCCGCCATTGCTGATGGGCACATTTTCGACCACCGCTACCATCTGTAGGACGGAGGGAAGGGAGGATGAGGAGGTCCTCGTCCTCCTCCTCCTCCTCCTCCTCCTCCTCCTCGTCCTCCTCCTCCTCCTCCTCCTCCTTCTCCTCGCCTTCTCCCTCTCCTACCTATGATAGCGGAGGTGGAAAATGGGCCCATCAAGTGCATCCCTGCTTCCCAGATGGGATCCGAGTAGATTTAAGTCGGGCACGTCCCTCTACAGGAGGCAAATTCAAAAAAAAGTCAGAAAGTAGTCAGGGGACGATGTTTTGAGCCATTTTCAGCCATTTTTGAGTATTTAGGGGTATTTCTTTTTATTGATCGTCCGAAATCCTCCTGTAGGGGGACACGCCCGACCCAAGAGTAGATGAGGTCGGGGGATCGCGCCGCATCGCCGATGCATCACCGCATCGCCGATGCATCGCCGATGCATCGGCGACGTCGGCGCGGACAGATTGGGCTGCACATCGAGCCGATCGCCGATGCATCGGCGATGAGGCGCGATCTTCCGATGTCACCTACTCCTACCCCATCCAGGAGGCCTCTATTATCGATATTCGACGGCCT